CCATCGTGGATTCGGCCTCTTCCCAAGCCAGATGCAGTGAAAGAAGAGTGGGAAGAATTCATGATCAGTTGTGCAGAAGTCACTTAAGTGATGCGGCACGTTTGTAGCAAGCAAGGGACAACATGGAAAAGCTAACTGTGCTACAGCGCCAGTGGCCCAGTGGTAGAATTGCTAATGGTCCCTGCCATTCGACCCTTCTGCCGACTCTGCCCGCGCCACTGAGTAGATAGCCAGCTCCCCTGGCTGCCTTCCAAGAGGTGGTCAGGGATGATACAGTGTACAGAAAAATAGCATTAGGAACAGCGGCGTTTCACCCTCATGTTTCACATAGTTCATGGGGCCTGCGTGATAGTCCGCACTCCGAAGCACTAGTATATCCATGGCTGCTGCGGTATCTCCTTCAGCACAGCTCTGCGCCACGCCTGATTTCAGGTAGGTGCTCTGATCGAAATGAATGGTACAGCTCAAGCCAAAGACACGAGCTGACTGGAATTTTGTCTCGATGATGTGAAGAGTTCTTGACATTGTATTGGTCACCCTGAACCCTTGCACTTTGCTGTTGGTGCGAACGCATTCTTTGATATTACACCACCGTAGACCCCAAACAGTTTGTGTTTTTCAAAATCGAAACTAGAGCTTGCGACGTCCAGAGCTGGGAGATAAATGTAAAGGATTGCAAGGCAGAGACGGACACAGCAGTACAGAGCGGGGGGACACATCTTAAGAAAGAAGTGAGAAGCCCTAACAGTAAACCTTTTGGGGAATTATTCTTCAAGCGCGAACATGATGCTGGTCATGCTGCTCAGTCAGCGGGGAGCTGACCACGTGAGGACAAGAAACAAAAGCATGAGGAGCGAAGGATGTGACATGAAATTGATTTTTGGTGCCTGACATGTGCCCTCCGCCCCAACTGAATAGAGAGATCGCTGCCACGCCGCCGAAATCCAATCCGGTCATTCATCCAACGGTTGCCCGAAAAGGAAAACAAAGCTGAGAGAGTTACACAGTGTGGCAGGAATGCAACCCCGGAGACAGTCACGCACCCCTTGCAAAGGAGCAAGAACCTTTCACAGGCGAACCTGTTCCAGCGGACAGGGCAGAAAACAGCAGTGCAGGCACCAAACCTGAAAGACAAAAAGAAAGAAATCACATGGGAGACAAATGAATAGAAATGCTACATGGCCAGCGGAAAAGGGCGGCAGCACCAGTGACAGACCCGGGAAACAAATTAATAGAAATGCTGCATGCCCAGCGGAAAAGGGCGGATACCAACAGTGACAGACCTGGGAGACTAATGAATAGACATGCTGCATGGCCGACGAAAAGGGCGGACACCAGCAGTGACAGACCTGGGAGACAAAACACTGGCAGTGACAGACCTGGGAGACAAATGAATAGAAATGCTACATGGCCAACGGACGGACACCAACAGTGACAGACCTGGGAGACAAATGAATAGAAACAGCGGAAAAGGGCGGACACCACCAGTGACAAGCCTGGGGGACAAATGAATAGAAATGCTGCGTGGCCAGCGGAAAAGGGCTGAAATTAGCAGTGACAAAGACAAATGAATAGAAATGCTACATGGCACCAGCAGTGACGGACCTGGGAGACAAATGAAGCATTTCTGGGAGATAAATGAAAAGAACCGGGAGACAAATGAAAGCAAGTGGGAGACAAGCGGGCCGGGAACCCGACCACAAGCACCCAGCCTGGGAGACAAATGAAAA